GGTTTATTGAACGGCATTCATTCCTTCGGTCCGTGGAAATATGAAATTTATAATAAAACCTTTCATTTACGCTCGGTACACTCTGGACCGTAGACGAAGACTAGAGGACTAAAGCAAAAGAACATACAGGCGACGAATTACCTGAATGGATAACATCGGGAAATGATCCATTATAAGTTGTTCTCAAACAAATTTTTACCTTCTTTGTACGTTTTGCTGGTACTTGAACTCAAGAACGTATCAGAACGAATCATCGGATCATCAGGAAATTTCATTTGCAACATTTTCAGTACGGTATGCATGACGTGATGCCTTGGATGCAATGCAGCATAACGCCGTGGAACATCGTTCGTGTTAATCGAATGTTGCGCAGAGACTGTTAGCTCAAGCTGCACGTGGTCGCCTTTTGATGTTTTGATGAAAATCATTTACTCATGTGCGCTGACGAAAGACGTGCAGGTGTCAGCGTTAAAAGTTGCGCATAAAGACATGAAAATCAATCAAACTCGACATTAAAATAGAGAGTTAAAGGGGCTGGAACTGGTCGAGTACCAACTGGATGTGCACAGCGCTCTAAGTCTATCTACGATTGTGAATAATTTTGAGAAAATCGGAACATCTGCTGAAGGAAAAGCGGACTTCTAAGGATATGAACTAAAGAACAGAACCAGTGGAACATGTCTCTTCAAAAACATGTGGAACTAGGCGTGAGAGAGATTAACGACGGATTTGACTTGGCGCCCCGGGCTAAGTTTGTTGGTAGTTTGTACGAAAATGCATCATCCCGATGATTACTTACAGTGCTCACATATATTCTGGGGCTCTCAATGTAAGAGATTTCACTGTTTGATGACGGTGCATTAGAGCAATAACACATGCGAGAGGACTCTGCTTCCACGATATTGCGTCATCGTTGATTGGAACTGTAATTTCGAGCAACAATACTCTTCGCCAACAAGATCTTGAATAACGAAGATCATCTACTGTACAAAGACATGATTAAAGGACATCCTCAACATGGTGTGACTCGTTCGAATTTCGTCTGCCTACCAGAGAGAACAGACATCTTTCGCAAATCTGTTATTCCTCGCCTGCTGCGCTCCTTAACTGATCTCAACATGTCTAAAACCAGCGTTAGACAGAATTTCCACATTAAAAAAATCGCGCCTAAGACAGTGAATAAGTCCACGTTTTCCTCTGTATTCCATAAAAACTGTTGTGCGTGCGAAGCGAGATAATGCCGGTGAAAAATAATTACGCCAGTAGCTGTTATAGCGCAATAAATTAGAACTTGATTTTGGATAAAGATATGACCGAAGGCTTGTCATAATTTCGAAAATTTATAAGAAAATGCTTCTTAAATTATGAATGACGTCGTGGATCTCGCTAATGAACTACAGACGGTAAAAGCTGATGTTCACAATGCGAAGGATCTACTAAAGTTTTGCGGTATCGGAGTGACGAGCACCGGCACTAATGCTTTGAACGTGGGCAATCAATTACGACTGTATGAACACATCTTCATGAGTACTCGCAAAGCTAGCGCTGCATAGCAGATTTAGCGCCATCGCTCTCGTATCCACCAATGTATCTGGCGCGCAAACGGAACACTAATATACTCTGCTACTCTGTTAAGCACGTGGCGTAGAATCGAAAATAGGAAACGGAACTTTCAGAATCAGTCAGATGACACTATTATTCGTTATGGGTGAACAACTGGTACACACAGGTTCGATATCGAAACGACGTCAAACGCATCAGGCGACTGATCTGGACCGGAAGCGGCACCAGCTTACCTACGTACTGCGAGGAAAGCGATGGCTTGACGTTCTCGTCGATGAAGCTGATGCCGAGTGTGAAGAGCGGTGTTGCGCCGATACCGTGAAGAAGGTGCGCGGCGAAGAATATGAACTCGTACTGGAACTTCTGCAGCACGTATATGACCGACTGCAAGAGTCCGTCCCGTTGCTGTTCGCTGCACATCGCGCTGTCGTCGACCGGGCCGTGCACCGCCATGGTGGCGTTGGCGATGTCAAGAAGCGACGCGTTACACCAGCCCATGTTCGCTTGCCGCTGCGCATACACATATGGGTCGACGACGAAGTGCGGCATCGAAAACAGGAACGAACCGATGCTCATCACCAGCAGGCCAATTCCCAGGAACAGCGGCTTCGAGTGGCGGTCACCAAAGTAGCTGACCGGAACACAGCACAGTACGTAAGCGACATCGTACGCCGGCAGGATCCGGCCGAGCGCCGTCGTGTGAAAGTTAAAGCGTCGCTCGATGGTGCTGGCCACCGAAGGTACCAGCCCGTTGACGAGCATGCCCTAAAAAGACGAATATACAGACGAAACGGGGGACTTGTG